TCATACATAATCACATTCGCACTCAACTGGAAAAGGTCAGGAAATTCCTTGTCCTGGAACTTCTTTTTTAAATCAAAGCTCAAGCAGTTTTGTGCGATCTTGACAAATTCTTTTTCGGGCAGAGGTACAAAACACTTGCTTCTTGCTGTTTTGAACCTTTGGAGAAAACTTTCTGCCCATTCATTTGGCATTTGACGTAGATTCGCCAAATCAGCCAAAGTGACTTCAGATTCAATTTTATAAAACTGAGCATGAAACAACTGTTCCAGTTGTTACCATGTTTGAACAGAGTTCGCTGGCAAGTTGATGAACCAGGAGAAAGCTACTCCTGTTAACGAACTAGGGAAAAGTCTCATTTTATGGTAATCGGTTACATCACCAATTTGCAACCTGAATCGCCCTATGTGTTCTAGAGTAGACACCTCTCCTAAACCAGTAAACAGTGAGAATCCTGGCACTTTGTACCCTCTAGGCCATGGATATGCTTGGTCTACCCAATCAGGATATGGCTTTGTGTACGTCGGCCTAATGACAGGACGCACTCCAAAGGCCATCTGATCCTGCACGATTTCCATAATCTGGTTCCTCAACATGACATTGGGATCATATGGAATTCCTACAGGCTGATTAACCGGTTGATTTGCATGAGGTCTGATGTTTGGTCCTTGATTGGCAACAAAATTACCATAATTAGGTCCATTACCGTTAGCCTGGACATCTGTTCCCTCATTACCACGTGGAATATTCTGTCCATTGTTTAGGACATTATCTAGGCATGCCACTACCATTATTTTGATTTAGCACTGTAGTACCTCCTTGGTTTGAAGTAGAGGGACCAGAAAGCGATTCCACCCCTTGATTCGGATTTAGGACAGAGGGATTATGTCCCACAATTGTCTTGGTTTGAAAGTGGTTTGTAAGAGGTATAGCTGGTTGACATATTTGGCCTACTAACTTATTCATTGTTTCGTTTAACGTCTTTAGCTGTTTGGCCATATTGTCATAGTGTGCATTTCCATTTTGTGTAAATCTTTCCATATTATGAATACTTCGAAGATTTACCTGTTCAACGACGTCTTGCGTGAGTTCTCCAAGCAATGCAAGCATGGTTCGAGGACTCAACTCCGTCATTGGTTCGTAATGACTGTTACTGCTCTGATTTTGTCCATCTGTTCGTGGAGAGACATGCTGCTCCTTATATCGCTCGATTACAGACTGGATTCCAATCTGACTTGCTCCTTCCTTGTCAGATCTCTGAGGCATATTGTTTCACCTTTTGTATTTTCAACACCTAACACCACTGTCCCACTGGGCGTGCCAAATTGTTTCGCGCGGGTTAAGTCGCTAACAATTAAAAAGGATCAGACGATTGTGTAAGGGACGAAACCTCTTGAGACAAAGTCCCAAAAAGGGGTGTTCTTTTATTGGTGATGAACTTTACAATTGGAAATGAAAAACAGCGTGCCTCCAAGGAGCGCAAGCACACGAGTTACAGAAAGAAAAGTGTTTAAGTCTAAAAGCTAAAGAAATGAAAATTACATGTTCTCTGTTCCAGAGTTTTAGATTCGGTCTTTTGCTTCTACGTCCTTTCTCCCTTTTATACCTCATAGACGATCTCTTTGTGATTAACTACTCTGAAAACTGCTTGATCGTCCTATAACTACCCACTTTCTTTGTAGTGGCCATTTTGTCATGAAACTGCCTCTTAACCGCTGCCATTATCTTTCATCGCTCAACCGCTTTCGATTGAATTCCTTGAGTTGTGGAACGTGATAGGGCTACTTTAACAACTGCCTTGATAACTGCATTTCTTGATAACCACAATGCGTTATGTTTGTTGATACCTTGGGCGACTTGAAGGTTTGGGCGAGAATAGAATAACAGCTCTGGGCGACCGTATGACACTCCATTCGTTCAGATTCTGGGCGACTTGCAAACTTGGGCGATGGCGTTACCGCACTCTTGGGCCCTTTATTTGGTCCTTCACCTTGATTCGTTCGATTGGACTTCGTTCTTTGGGCTATCTGGTTTGGGGATCCTCCAATTGGGCTTTACTCCTTGGGCTATTCGATTTGGGCTGAGTTTTTATGTGTCAACAGCAGGATGTGCCCTTGTTGGTTCCCAGGTTCCCAAATGACTTTTACTCCTTCCCCAAAGGAAGCCTCCTCCATGGTGATTAATCCACCAATAATTCCTCCTTTATTGGATCAAAGGTTCTCACCAGAAATTGAACTCCCCACGCTTGGTTCCAGAGCCCCCAATGTGATTGTTCCGCCAACTTGGATGTGCCCTGGGGGGCGAAAGACGTGTATTTTTTACAAAATAATAGTTTGTGCAAGGCTACACAAGTGGACCACATTCATTTATCCCTAATTTTTTAAGTAGGGACCTATGCTTTTTAAGTGGAAATAAGTGCTCTTGGTAAATAGTACTATGACTCATGCGCTACCATACAAGTTAAGTACACCCCTTTATCCCAGCTGTCTAAGTGGAGATTTACGTTATTTATTTATTCTTATTTTTTTGTGTGCGAATAACATCTTATACGATGATAAAAAGTCGAGTAGGCCCGTTATTTAGAGTTATCAATGGATTGGATTTTGATCCGAATTCGATCCGAATTCGATGAAATTAACGGGAGATGGATTTACGGTTTCAATCCAATGATCCAATTAAGATCCGAATTTGATAATCCGTTAACTAAATGGATCAAATGTGGATATATGTCGATCCGATCTGATTTATTATAATAATATTATATATTTTATATATTATATCATAATTTATTAAACATAGTTTTTTTCATTTTGAAACTTATATTATGTTTTACGCATAATTTTCAAATAATAAATAATATTAGATAATAGTATAATATTTTTACTTGAAATATTCAAAGAGGTTAAATTTTTTATTAATTAAAATAAGATAAAAATAACTATAGTAATTTGTTTTATAACATCAAAAACTAATAATTAATACGTCCAAAAATAATTTACTTTGTTAAAGCTGATATTGTTTTTTATTTTAATTTTGTTAAGGCTATGATTTTTAGTGAAAATAATAAAATAAACTAGTAAACACTTAGAATTGACAATTGAGTAGTATCCCACATTGAAAGACCACTAAAACATTAGAAGAGAAGTACCCTTTAAAAATGTAGTATCCCACATAGGAAGATTATTAAAACATTCCAAGAGAAATCTTCTTTAAAAGGAACTAAAGGAGCATCACTTAAATAAAAAATTGATTTGGGCCTTCTAGTATATTAGGTGAGCCCATTAAGATAATTAAAATATTTTCTTTTGGAAAAAATTGGTGGAAAAAAATTCGAATCGGATTATCGGATCAGATATCCGATAACATAGCAAATCGGATATGGATTTAACAATCAAATATCCGTTGGATTATTGGATCGGATAATTTTTCTAAATAGATCGAATAGGATTTGGATAGATCCGCTCCATATTCGATCCATTGACAGCCCTACCTTTATCTAAACAATTATTTATGGCTCGCCCTTATTTTGATGTTGACTTGCAATTCCCAATCATATACACGATGTGAAGTGAAGTATTTGCATTTGCATTTGATACTAAGTCACTGAAGACAACCAAATGCCGTGCATTTTAGCTGAATGTCAAAGTCAGTAAAGACTAGTAGTCTATGGAAGCTCTAGCCTTAAGGTCTATAATTCGAAGCTACCTTCGTTCTTGATCAATAATGCCCATTAACCACAATGTAGATTTCGGGATAATGATGATTTTCACCACGTCAAGGTGACACTCTACGATTAAGTTATATTCTCTCTCTGTTCTCATTGAGAAATAGAATTGACTAATCATAAATGAAAAGGTCGAGAAACTCAACGTTACTAATCTTGAACAACTTGGAGCCAAACCTTCTTTTCACACTAGTAATTACGCTAAAATGTCCTCTTGAAGTGTAGTCAATCATTCACACCCCCTTTCACAAGAAAGCTGGAGATGTCACCTGTTCGCTTCTGCAAAGTTAAGCCCCCTGTTTGGGAGCAATTATTTTCACACAATATAGATTTTTTGACTGTTGGAATGGGGTCAATTTTTGCCAAAACTAACATGCCCATAACAATTGATCATTCAAATACATACCATATTATGCCAATTGTCATTTCTACTCTTTACTGCTGAACAAGTTTAAAATTTTGGGAGGACACTCATGTCATTTTGCATGCCCACAACATTTGACCAATTTAAATGTCACTATAATAGTT